ATTAGCTTCTGATAGAAAATAGACGGTGAAACTCTAGGATTAGAAAATCCTGACAGATCTATGTCAAGCGGTCGCTTTGACTCACCCATCTTGGCTCGTGACGTGGAAGGCTGTTGTTGGTTTAGCTTCCAGGAAGCAGCAGAGAACATCTCTGCTAGTAGAAGCTAACTGTTAGCGTTAGCTAAACCACCACACGGCAGAACTCCTCCAGGTTTGTGTTATTTGTGGAGATAAAATGGTGTCGCAGCGCAAACAGAGTCAGTAGTAATGTGTTGCTATCAGCCAATCAGAGGAGAGATGTCCAAATATCAGGAAATAAGACTACAAATCCTGCTGTCTGTAGCTCAGCTGTGATGTGGGTCGCTACTAGTTCATTCCTACTATAGACCACTGCAAATGTATTGACTGAACGAGTGTTACACTCCTTTAAATGAAACGTCGGCCTTCCACTCTGATCCTAATGTCTTAACTGCAGATAAAGCAAAGAACAAAGGAAAGATGTCAGCAATCATCCTCTGATTCATACGTTTAAACCTCAACATGCTGACTGTGAAGAAGCGTGATAACATAATGAGCATGTGGAGAGGTTTTAAAGCTCTCCAGTCTGTCATTTTGTGTCTTCTGTGTCCTGGTTACCTTCACATCACCAAGGGTTTAATTACTGCCAAAGAGACACCTCTCCGAGGACCAGACTGAAAGAGACCAGAGGAATCAGGTGAGGCAGAGCGACAGCAGGAGGCTCAGACAGCTCCAGATGATCAAAGAAGACACGAGACAAGAAAAATGCCCAGATAGGATCAGCACCAACATGATCAGATTTGTACCCAAGCAGGTGTAAGGGAGCACGGGGAATCACGCTGAAGGGGAGGTGGTAAGTTTCTATTTTATGTTATTTCATGGGAAAACACCAGTTTTCCTTTGATTAGTCACAATGGAACCTGTTCCTGTGAATCCCTGTTTAGAGCAGGCCTCAACCTGTGTCTTTGTTCCAAATAAATGAGAACATTTACAGCCACGGCTATTTTTTCACGGACTGGGTGCGCTGTTGGATTTTATAGTAAAAGCTCTGAGGCCACTTGTTTCCATGGATCAATGCATAGGAGACCCTCTGCTATGCAACAGCAAGCCCCCTCTCCCCAGTCAGTGAGCTGGTTTGCAGTCCTTCCATGTGACAAACAGGAGCTGTTTGTCTCAAATCCACTGATTTTTATTTTACAACTTGTTTGTGTTATCAGGAATTCGATCACGTCAAGGATGAGGAGACACTTATTTTGCTTTTAGTGATGGTTCAAATGTTTGAGAGAGATTCTGTCAAAAAGTTAGAAAACTGAACATTTTATCTGCCAACAACTCAGTTCTGAGAATCAGAGAGCAGTTCTGAGCAGACTGATAAGCTAATGGCTAGTCTAAACAGGGTTGAGATATTTTTGCTGTTTTAAAACAAACCCATTAAAAAAACGTATCGCAATTCATGCAAATCCTGTTTTATACACTGGGTTTAAATGTCACATGTCCGTTTCTGCAGAATCCCTGCTGGAGGAAGTGCTACAGCTAGCTGCTGCCTCTATTATTTGCACATCCAACCAACTGTTGATATCTAATAACATTAAATGTTAACTTACTGAGATGGAAACGTTTATAAAATTGTTATGATCGGACTCGGAGACCCGTGAGGACAACCAGACACAGTAAGCGCTTTGAGTCTTTTATTTACAGAGATGTAGCGTTAGTCAGCGTGTGTCAGAGCTAGAGAGATCCAGGGGGAAAGGCGAGAGGCAAAATCCAGAGATGGGTCGGCGATCGGTAAGCCAGGTAGACTGAGGCAGAGTCACAGACAGGAAGCAGATAGGAGACAAAGTCGAGAAGCAGATCCAAGGTCCGTATACCAGGCAGGCTTGTAATCAAAGCAACAGGATCCAAACAGGGGCGAGGCAAGGTGGAAGGTCCGTGAGACAAAACAAGGTCAGGGTACGAGGTTCAGGCAATATAGAAATGCTGGAGAATAATCTTGCTTTGGGCGTTCAATAATCTGGCGCTGGCTTGGTGTTGGTCCAGGTGTTTTATAGAGAGCATTGCAGTTGGAGCTGATGAGGAGTTCATGTGAGACAGGTGGTTTGGATGAGGTTGATGGTGAGCTGGTAGTGGTTGCTGGGGAAACGGGGCTTGGCTGGAGCAGGGGCTTCCAGTGTCTTCAAAAAAGGCTACATGCCATGGATCTACAGGATGACGCTTCCTCTTTTTGTCCAGCGGAGTCATTTCCAGGTCAAAGTAACATTAGTGTTTGTTTCTGCATTTTTGACGCCATCGCCGCAGGAATTGCAGAGGATAATGGTCAACACTGTAAAATCCAGGCCCCATTTCAGAAAAAGGCAAAGGTGTAACACTTTACAATAGAGGTTCCATTTTCACTTTGCTTTGTGCATTACTAAGCAGTAATAAACTATAAAATAAAATATTAACAACTGCTTAAAGGGATACTTTGCAACTTTTTCATATTTACTTCCAGCATATTTCCTGTAAATTTTAGACAATAAACAGCTGATTTGTTTTATTTAGTGATGGATCACTCCTGTAGACACTAAGGAAGGCTGGGGAGACATTTCAGCTGTTGGATGAAGGTGTTAAAAAGACAAACGCACTGCGAGGAAAAAAGTTTTGGTTTTGGTTCTACAAACGGACACTAGGGGGTGCTAAAAGCAAGCCAAAACTACCTACTTCCCTTTTAACTATTTTAATTAATGCATTACCAATCAGACCCCCCCCCAGCCCTTTATCCAAACCTTAAGGACACCTTTATTGTTAAGTATAACGGTAGAAGTTGAATGACCAAGTTGTTGTGTAATCAGGGGAATCTTAGATGTGGCCTGGATTATCCAGTGTATTTCATTAATGCTATCCTATGGCAGGTCCTGCAGCAACCGTGTTAAAATGCCATAATGAAGATGAATGTTACTGTAACACAGAAAGTCAAGAAGCATCAAACTGGGGGTCCGTGGCAAATTTGCTACAATACACTGTAGACTGTTTGAAGAAGGCAGCAACAAACGTTGAAGTTGATGAAACTATGTCAGACTAGCCATTAGCTTGTCAATCAGTTCGAAAGCTATCTACAACATAACCTTTCAAACCTGCTTGAAAATATTTGAACTATACCTTTAACTTAACAGCTGAACAAGCTGACCTTGTAATAGATGCAACACGTAGAATTGTTTTGTTTTCCATTGATTTTGTTGCTCACTTCCTGTTTTTTACCGCAGGTTTTCATTTGAACTTTTTTCCCGATACTTTTAAAAATTCACTTTTCCTCTTTTAATCCATCGGTTATTGTTGCAGTTACACACACACACACACACACACACACACACACACGCGCGCACACACACGCACACACACACACACACACACACACACACACACACACGCACACACACACACACACGCACACGCGCGCACACACACACACACACACACACACGCACACACATGCACACACACACACACACACACACACACACACACACACACACACACACACACGTGCACACACACGTGCACACACGTACACACACACACTCAGATATGTATGCACAATTTCAATTTCAATGTATTGAGTCAACCAGGTGCAAAAGACTAGAATTTACAAAGTTACGTATTTAGACTTATGTACTTATAAAAAGCCAATTATGGGGTCATTTGACTCTTTTTTTCTATTGTTTGATTCACGTGTTTTAATTATTTTTCACACAATTATATCTAGAAAGCAAAAACTGCTGAACAAACGTCCTTTAAGAGCAACGAGTTCCTGTTTATTGCCAGATGTGATAATAAGGAGATAAAAAATGAGTGACTAGACAGAAAACAACCACAACCAAGTCCCACTGATTATGTTGTCCACTGAGATGCTTGAAACAGCAAATGTAGCTATCTTTAGACCTTCAAAACTAAAAGCTACGTTAGGTATTTGTCTGTGATAGCTGCTGCACGGCAAAATCTAAAAATACAGTAGATTATTGTAGACCTTTTCACTAAAACCATTTTGTAACAAGTAAACTGAAAAAAGTGGAAAACTTAAAATAAAACAAGTATTTTCTTCTCTTATGACAACTCTGCTCTCAATAGTGTTTTTATGAGCCTTTACATCCTTTTTAGTTCCGTATTTCTGAGTTTTTAAATAAACTTTGGCGTTAGCAGCAACCTGATTCACTTTCAACTAGAATAAAATAAATGAACATCTTAAGCAACGTTCAGGAGCTGTCGTGCTGCGTTTTGCAACAGGAGTTGTCCTCGTTAAACCCCAACCCAGACTAGCCGTCAGCTCTTAAATGCACAGATATTTTTTACTGTTGATTATTTTTGAATGATTTCAAACTTCTCGTACTTACAGTGTAGTCGCAGTCATCTTGCCCGTGGGGGGTTAGCGTGATGTAGTCCTGGGCTGTTTGGTTTACAGTCAAATATTTATTTTCCTTTGGTGAAGATAAGGTGGAAGAAAACAAAAAGTAATCAGCATGAGCCATGTTGGAGTCGCTGAATGTGGTTTTTGGTTGCTCATGTCTGTTTTGGGTGGAGGGCCATGTCCAAGAGCTCCATCAGTCATAACTAAACATTAAAATGATCCTTCATAAGTTTGGCTCATGCAGGAGTTCAAAATCAGAAGATTAGAATAGAAATGATATTTTTATTTTATCCCAGAATGTATTCAGGTTATTTTAATTTCTTTTACTTTTCCCTTTGTCCCACCACAGACTGCTGCTTGTTGTTTGTTCTGGTGTTTTATTACTTTTCTTTTCCAGTCAGTCAAACTGTAACAGAGTGTGTTCCTCTTTCATAGATGAGCTAAGAAAATGAACACGAACGTGCTCAAGCACACGCCAACGTGCAGGGAAATAATCCCAGTGACTTATCACTTCCTTTCAATGGCTCTGTGTGTGTGTGTGTGTGTGTGTGTGTGTGTGTGTGTGGGTGGGTGGGTGGGGGTGGGGGTGGGGGGAATACAAACGGTTTCATTACTTTAATTCGTAACTTTTGTTTTGTTTTCTCTTCACAGACGTTTATTAAAAAAATAAAGATTCATCTACAAGTCACAACATGCCCTATAGGTTATAAATTGTAAGTCGCTTTGGATAAAAGCGTCTGCTAAATAAATAAACATAAATAAACATAAACATAAGTTTGAGACTCGGATCAGAGCCATCCAGGCGCCCTCCTTCTGTGATGGGGGATGTTGCTCCAGTTTGCCAGGAGGAGGATCCAGCTGCAGCTCCCAGCTCCGGGGAGTCTATGGATCTGGAGTGTCCCATCTGTTACCAAGAGTACAACCAGCACAACAAATGCCCCCGCATGCTGGAGTGCCTCCATGTTTTCTGCACAGAATGCCTCCAGAGGATCCAGCTGACTACCCATGAACCCGGTGGCTCCTCCACCTCACTAGCCATCCCCTGTCCTCTTTGTCGCCACCTGACCCCTTCAGAAACCGGGGATGCCCTCACCCTACCCTGCAACTCCCGCATCCTGTCCAGGCTGCCCCAGGTGGACGTCCAGACACCTGCTTCTGCTCTGGCCACAGTCACTCAGAGAGTGGTGCTCTCTCTAGACAGCAACGGCAGGGACAGCCGCTTCATCATCCTGCCCACCGTAAGCCTGCGGGTGCAGCAGATGCACCCGGACAGGCCGTACGGGGCGGTGCCGGGCCTGGTGTCTGAGCAGGGGGTCATACAGCAGAGCAAGAAGACGCTGTTGTGTGTGCAGCTGCTGGCTGTTGTCTTCTGGGTGTTGTTTGTGATCACCTGTGTGGTGGGTGTGGTCTTTGGACCACATTTGTTCAAGAAGAGTTTCTGATTTCATGTTCAAAGCAAATGGAGGCCCATGCAGTCAGACATATGCCTTTACTGGTATAAACGGCTTGTTTTTATGAAGGATTATTTTGATTTGATACTAACTCTGTATCCAAATTAACTAGTCATTTCATCTCCTAAAACACCTCAGTGCCCTTGATGTTTTTATTTTCACCTTTCCAGTGATTTTGAATAGACGTAGAGCGCCCTCTAGTGATAAAGAACCATCTGAACATCTGCCACTCGAACTTAATGAAATATGTCGTGTTTTCTAATTATAATAATTAACAGTTATGTTTTCTAATATACCAGTGAATTAATTCAAGCAAAAAATAAAACATGACTGAAATAGGTAATTATTTAAACTTTTATTGTGATTTTAAAGTCCAAATTGAAACCATCCCTGTGCTCTTTGTGTTACACTTCTTATTCTTCTTCCAGAAATACCAACGAAATATCATAATTAAAAGAAAATCAACACTAAAATAATCTCCAGGCATCTCTAAAAGTTGACTGTTGGAATTCAGCTTGGTTAATCTGTGAATAAACTGAACTTCAGCACATATACTTTGTGTTTTACTTTAATCTTCTTCAGTACTTCCTTTCCTTTAAAATGGAAATAGTCTTTTTTTTTACTGTACTACAGCTATTTATTCATCAACTACCAGTTTAAAACAAACAAAACAAACAAATAGTGGGTAAAATGGACATATGTCCTTAGACATCACGCCCACAAACAAGCATGTTGGCTTTTTGCATTATGATTTTCTTTTTTCAATTTACATCTGGGACACCATATTTTTTTCTACAAATGTACAAATTAGAAATGTTTAATTCTTAACTTTTTATTTAAAATGAAAATTGTATGTTTATTTTTAATTTCCTAAATGTTGAAATATAATTTTTTTGTTTCTGATGCCTTACTGATACCAAGACTCTGTCCCTAAACCAAACATCATTATTCTCTTCTCTTTTATGCTATTTGTTATTGTTTTCCCTTTAATGGTCCATTGCGCCATACATACGGTTAAAGGTGCAGTATGTAAGAACATAGAGAGAATTTTACAGTGAGAAAATCCCAAAAGAGTCTAATGTTTCAGACATTTTGGAAGGAAGCTTACACTGAAACATGTTTCAAATCCAGCTGGTTGTGGGGATCGTCAGTTTTTCTCCATTCAAAACAAAGGAAGGAGGGGCGTAACTACTGTTTACCATCAGTGAGTGTGGGGGCGCCGTGTCTCCTGCGAGCTAATGCCGCAGCGTCGACAACTGTAATTTCACAACAGAGTTGTTCAAAGTGGTTGCAGTAACCAAATTGTACCACAGGATGTTATTTTTTACTTTATTTCTACATGATGCACCTTTAAACTACGCAGAAGGACAAGTATGTAAGAATTTTCCTAATGAAGAATTAAGTTTGCTCGGACGTTGTAGGGCACTCACGTTCACCATTCTGTGCTTGAGTGAAAAAAGTTTATCTAAAGCGTTGTCCCACGGAGTAATTTTGAGTGGTCCTCTATTGCAATTCAGAATGGTAGAACATTGGCCCACAAGCACAGGCCGCTGATGCAGACTGACTCTTAACAAAATTAAGTTCATTCATAGGCTGGCCAGAGAACGCCTTGGGAGCTGGCCCAAGTGGCTGAAGAGAGGGAAGTCTGGGCCTCTTGGCTTAGGCTGCTGCCCCCATGACCCGACTCCAGATAAGACACTGCAAATGGATGGATGGAAGATCATTTCTATTGTAGAAATTTAAAAAATGCAGCCACAAATGCACAAATGTCACACACACATACCTTTAAGCTAGTGTGGGTGCACTGACACACAACACAACTTCTCCTGCTACACTCCTTCAATGGGATGACAATGTTGATTGAATTATCTCTCATCTGGACGTTTACATCCACTCACACCACAAACAAGTTAGCCCAAAATGTCCATTGTGCTAAGCTGCAGCGGAAACAAGTTATCGTCAATGCTTCAGTCTAGGGTCTTTCATATGGATCCAAACTGTTTATAATGCTGATTTTGTCCACATACCGGTCCCCGACTCATCTCAGCCTAAAAATTACAGATCCATTTCTAAATGACCCTTCATCTCTAAAATATTGGAAAAGGTGGTGGCAGATCAACTGGTTACTTTTCTGGAACTACACAACAATTTTGATAAATTCCAGTCTGGTTTTGGTAAAAAGCATTCAACTGAAACAGCTTTGCTTAAAGTTTCCAGTGACATCATGATGGCTGCAGACAATGGGGATTCCACAGTGTTAGTATTGTTAAATCTTTCTGCAGCTTTTGACACTGTTGATCACAGCACCTTAATTAACAGACTTGGTGACTCGGTGGGGATCTCTGGAACTGTTCTAGACTGGTTTAGGTCGTACCTTTCTAACAGAAACAGAAACAGATTCTACTGATCTGTTCTGTGGGGTACCCCAAGACTCTGTTTTGGGTCCATTTCTACTGTACATACACCCTCTTGGACAGATAATTGCTTCTTTTCATAATGTCTCTTATCACCTATATGCAGATGGTATTCAGCTGTACTCTCCTTCAAGGATTCTGAGTTCTATAAACTGTCTGAATTACTAGAGTGTCTATCAGCTATCACCAGCTGACTAGAAGATAACTTCCTTCAGTTAAACTGAAAAGACTGAAGGTCTGATCATTGCCCCTGAGAGCACGGTTCCCCTGATAAGTCAAAAACTTGGTCATTTATTGTCTGCCGTCAAGACAAACTTAAAGAAATTGGATTTTGTTTTTGACTAATCAATGTCTCTTGAAGGCCACTCAAAAATATTGGTCTGAAACTGTTTTTATCACTTCAGAAACATCTCCAAACTGCAAAGGTTGGTGTCTAATATACCAGGGCAAGGTGGAGAAACAAGGGCCTGGGTGGGAGTCATGCACGCTAACCAGTCAGCCAAAGGGACATCCCCTTTGCCAAGTAGCCAGGGCACATGATCAATCGGGTCACAGTGACATGACACTCCTACTGTCACATCTTACCCCCTCTTTCCACAAGCACATCCCCGTGCAGGGTGCCACAAATTTCAAATCCATGGACCAACCTCTCAGTACATGGATCCTGCCATCAACACCAAATATGGCAAGGTGGAGAAACAAGAGCCCGGGCGGGATTTGATCCCCAGACTCCCGGGTGAAAGTAATGCTTGCTAACCAGTCAGCCAAAGGTACATCCCCTTAGCCAAGTAGCGAGGGGGCATGATCAATCGGGTCACAGTGACAGGACGTTCATACTGTCACACATGCCTTTATCTCCTCCCATCTAGATTACTGTAACACACGTTTCACATGTTTTAACAAAAAAGTCCTTGACCACCTTCAGTTGGTCCAGAACTCTGCAGCGAGGCTCCTAACTGGAGCAAACAGAAGAGCTCACATCACTCCTATTCTAATGTCTCTGCACTGGTTACCCGTTAACTTTAGAGTTCATTTTAGAATCCTGACTACAACTTTCAATACTCCACATGGTCAAGCTCCTCCCTATATTACTGAACTGGTAACACCTTGTGCTCCAACCCGAGCCCTCAGGTCCACACACCAGAACCTTCTAGAAGTTCCAAAGACCAGATATAAAAGTGAAGGTGATCGCTCCTTCCAGAGGGTTGCACCTCGACTTTGGAATGATCTTCCTTTATCCTTACGTTGTATTGACAGTCCGGACAAAAACAGCTAAAGACCCTGTTATTTAAAGCTGCTTTTACCTAAATCTTTTATTTTCTTATTTTTAACTTAAATTTGTAATCTTTCACCTATCTATGAATTAATTTAGAATGTTATTACATGATTTTTTCTGATCCATTTCTGTTTTGAGATCATAATGATTTCATGACTTTGTTTTATTTTGTTTTGATCTATGTGAAGCACTTTGTGATTCTATGCCTGTGATAAGTGCTATATAAATAAAATGTTATTTAATAAATCCCTATATATTCGGCATCCTTTAAGTGATTTTAACATGTTGTTTAACACTTCCTTTTTCTGAAGTACTGTTTGTTTTCACTGTTTTTACACTCCTAAGGCCATCAGCATGTCTGTGCATATCCCAGAATGTAACGCGTAATCAGGTGTGATGCCAAGCCCTTTTATTCTTAAATTTATTAATTAACAAATTTATTAATTCATTTCGCAAAACTTGACTTGTATTATTATAATTTCTTAAGTACATATTATTCTTGACCCTTTTGTAGCGCCATACAGGTGGTGGGGGCGTCTGCACGTAAAAGTGTAGGGGTACGTATTACGTCACACGCTACGTTGGCTCGCAGAGCATAAGCGGTGAAAAGTTTTCAGACCCCCCCCTCCCCGCCTGTGTGTGTTTTTGTTGGGGGAAAAGTTGCTGGAAGTTCGGTCGTGTGAATGTAGCGTGTCGGCAGTTTTTCGCCCCTCACTGAAAGAGGGAATGCGGATTAAAACTCATGTGAAGTCGGACAGCGATCTTTTGAGCTGGGGTTGTAACTTTTTTTACGCGCTGTTCGGCTCGGACGAAGAAAAAAAAATCTCAGCGAGTAGCCGTTTCATCGCTTCGCCCTGCTAGCTAAAACAGTCCCCCAACAAAGTTCTCGCTACCTCGCCTCATCCTTGCCCGTCTCCCTGGGAGAACTTCCAGCTTCGGAAAGATGGCGGAAACCAAAATTATCTATCACATCGACGAGGAGGAGACGCCGTACTTGGTGAAGATCCCCATAGATGCTGAAAACATCACTTTGCTGGATTTTAAGCAGGTTTTGAACAAGCCGAACTACAAATTCTTCTTCAAGTCTATGGACCAAGACTTCGGGTGAGCTGCTGAGCTTGATGCTTTATTTAGATGGGCTTTTCATGCAAAATGAGGATTATTGAAACACGAACATCTGTAAAAAGGCTTTAGAACAGCTATTAGAATGAGCTATTTTTCCATTGATCATTAATCTGGAGCTGCATTGTGGTGAACGAGGCTGTGGCATTTCCCAGAAACATCATCTTTACAATGGGAGGCATTGCCTGTCCCTTCTGCTTTTCTCTGCCCTAATCCTCATCCCTCCCTCCCTTCTTTAGTCCATCATCTGGTGAAATCCTTTTCTTTTCTTTCAGGACTGAAGCCAGGGTTTTGTCCCCCCTCTTCCTTCAACACTTGGGCCCTTTATTTCCATGCCTTCTCCCTTCCTCTCATCTTCCTCCTTACCTTCTCCTGTCTCTCCTCTTCTCTATTAATGAACCCTTTTATTTCTTTTCCTGTGCGTTTTCCTGCAGAGGAGTTCTTGTTTGTGGTTTGCTCACCCTGAGAGACCCCCAGGGCTTTAGCTAAGCGCATTGTGTTCTTGGATGGGGTTTTCAGCCCTCCTTTTTGTCCCTGTTGGATGGCAGCACCAGGACCTGTGCCAAAGAAGCTGCAAAGTCAAGCTCAAATCCAAACGGGATGACTTTTCTTTAGGATTTTGGCAAAGCTGGTGGGACATGTCGCTTGCCAAATGCAGAAAAATGTACTATACATCTTAAAGACATGACTTTGAAATCAACTGTAGGTACTTTCTTCTCGACATCGCTTCTGTCCGGTTGTGTAATGGAGCTGGGGTCTCATTTATCAAACATGGCGTAGAATCCTTACTAAAACCGTACTTAAGCACAGCAAAAAAGTACTTACACCAAGTAGGTTTGTGATCTATCAAACATGGAGTACGCACAGCTGCACGCAGTCTCCGCTTCATAAATCGGAGACTAACGAGAATGTTTCTCAGCTGCCTTTTAGTCACATCCCCCCCTCACCACACCCACTTACTACCATAAATAGTCAATGCAAAATGCCTTGTGGATCTCATGCATATACATAAGCCGGCTGTTGCAGCTTTCGATCACGACCACAGATCAAGGAAGCGCTATTTCACAAGCAGAAGTTGAGGTACCTGTGGGTGAGGTGGAGAAATGAAAGGAAGTGCTTTTGCAAAACAAATAAGAGAAAACCCGGAGTGGCACAGCGTTGCTGAAGCCGTCAATGCTGAGTTCTTCAGAGAGGTCTGTGGCGGATATAAAAAAATGATCCGATCAGGATTCGATCCCCAGACTCCCAGGTGAAAGTCACGCGTGCTAACTAGGGCTGTCGCGGTTGAGGAATTCCCCCTGCGGTGATTCAGGGTGGCTTAATATTGCGGTGTGCGATATTATTGCAGCACTTTTTTTTATTGCAGTACTATCTAAACATAATGCTTACACATTTAAAAAAGGTTAAAAATTGCCGTGCCTTCTTTTATAACACTTTACTGAATCCAGATCAAAGGGCAGTAACAACACAGATCGCAGTAACGTTTGTTTCTCCGACAGTCGGAGTCCGACTGAACTTAAAAACAACAAAATTCAGGAGAAGGATAAACTTTTAAATGCAAATTTGGCTGCAGCATCTAACAAATAAGAAACAAGTCCCCATTTTGTTTAGTTGTTTAAAATCAAGCATGTACCGCGGGGGGGGGGGGGGGGGGGGGGCACACTATCATTTCACTGTCACACACACAAATGACGGTGATTTATAGCTCGGTCACGTCCTTGTTACGCACAAGGAAAACCAGCATGTTAACCATATACGGTTTGAGAGAGGATCTGAGAGGGGTGGCAACATTTCCAGCAACACTGAAAACCCTCTCGGATGGTGCGCTCGTTGCACTAACACACACGTACTTGCGTGCGAGTACGTGTGTGTTAGTGCTTCCCAGTTGTTGCTTCACCATGTCAGGGGGTTTTCTTTAGGGTGGATGCATTCCTCCTGCAGGTAGCGAGTGAGCTCCAGCTCAGCTCAAACTCTCTTCGGGACGGTTGCAGAAGCAGGTCTCCGAGCGTTTATCATTATTATTTTGCCGCTGGTGGCAGCTCTGTCTCGGCCAAGGACCCTGGCTGCGCAGCAGCTGACGTACTGAAAACCAAAGTGCTCCCAAAGGAGCAAAGTAACGTTTCATTTTGATACCAGTGCAGCCATCCTTCTCAACATGCATCATTGAGTTGAATCAAGTTCGGTAATCGCGGTGGCCCTTGATGCAGCGCGGTGGGTTTCTTCATATTGTGATATTTCATTTTTGCAGTTACCGTGACAGCCCTAGTGCTAACTAGTCACCCAAACAGAGATCTCCCTTATCCAAGTAGCCAGGGTGCATGATCAATCAGGTCACAGTGACAGGACACACACACTGTCACAGACGCATGACTTTCTGTTTCAATCTGTCCCCCTGCTGATAATCTGCATTCCATATTCTGCGCTTCAGGCTGTGTGTGTGTGTGCGTGCGCGCATGCATGTGTGTATGCGTGCGTGTCAAGTGATAATACTGCAGGATTTCATAATTGTATCTTCTCAGCAGCAGCACTGCAGGTGCTCTCCATGTCCAAAATGTGTGTAAGCCAGGTCCTTAGTCAACTTAAAGTTGCACACATTTTTCCGCTAAGTTTTCTTTCATAAATCCCAAAGTTTGCGTGGAAAGTTGCTTACGCAGTTTTCCGACCCCGTTTTGTGTGTAAGCAAGCTTGATAAATGAGGCCCCAGATCATTACTGGAAAATCAGTAAAAGCATAAAGTTAAAAAAAAGTCTGTCCTTCAGAAAGCCTGGTTAGCAGAGTAAATCAGTGGAAATATGCTTTAAAAAATACTACAATACTATTGACAATCACATTTTTGGAATACAAAAGTCATTTGTGAAGAATTTTAATGTGCTGACAATCTGCCAAAGCAGAGCGGTCGTAGAGTCGTCCATCTGTACAGATGTTGTGTCACAAAAATGGGAACAGTAAGATTATGCATTGTTTCCACTCGGAACAATTGAATGTGACACACTCCATGCCTGATCACTCGAGGGTGTGTCCGAATCCAC